GCGGCTCGGGTTTCCCGCGAGGCCCGGGCTCCGGCCCGCCACCCCAGCCCCAGCTGCGCGTGCTGCCGTCGGGGGAAATGGAAGTCATCTTCGGCGCCGGCGCCCTGTTCAGCCGCTCGGACGCGGAGGACCGTGAGGTGCGGCAGCTCACGGCGCAGCCGTTCAGCCCCTCGTCAACGCGGACAGCGTCTCAGGTCCCCGCCCCGCCGCGGCCCCTCGCCCCCGACGGCGGCTCCCGCTGGGCCACCTACCTGGAGCTGCGTCCCAGCGGGCCGAGCCCCGCCGCCTGCGCTCAGTTCGAGTGCGTGGAGGTGGCGCTGGAGGAGCGCGCCGAGCCGGCCAGGCCCCGCACGGTGCCCAAGCGTCAGATCGAGCTGCGCCCCAAGCCCCCGAGCCCCCCGCGGGAGGCCTGCGCGCCGCGCCCCCGGCTGCTCCTGCGCACCGGCTCCCTGGACGAGTCGCTGAGCCGCCTGCAGGTTGCGGCGGGCCTTGTGCAGACAGCGCTGGCCAGAAAACTGGGTCCCGCGACCCCGGCTCCGAGTAGCGTCGCCGTTAGGCCCACGGAGCGGCCAGAGCCTAAGACTGGAGAAACAGCCCGCAGCACCCGGTCTTGGCCAGCCCGCGCGCAAGAGGGTTCCGGCCCCGCCAGAGCCCCGCGGCCTTGGCCCAGCCTGCGTGAGCGCGCTATTCGGCGCGACAAGCCCGCGCCTGGGACCGAGCCTCTGGGTCCCGTCAGCTCCAGCATCTTCCTGCAGTCAGAGGAGAAGATCCAGGAGGCGCGCAACCAGCGGCCCAAGACTCGGTTCCCGCAGGAGACTCCGGGTCGAACGGTCCCGAGGGAACCGAGCCCGTCTTTGGAGTCCAGAGTCCCCTGGGAGGTTCGGAGCAGTGCTGAGAGGCCTAAGAGCCCATCTCCGCCGGGCCGGGCTCCAAATGGGCCCGTGCGGGACCCTCGCGGCCCGTGCCCTCAGAGCCTGTCCCCGTGGAGTCAGGCTGCGTGGAGGGTGAGCAGCCCGCCGTTCCGCGAGGCACCGTCCGCGTGGGGAAGTCGGGCCCCCGCCGTGCCGGAAGGTGCCGGCGGGAGGAGCCCCTCCCCACCGACGCCCTCCCAGTGGAATCGGGGAGGTGCGAGGGCGAGGAGCCCGTCCCCCGAGGTGCCTTCCCCGTGGGAGGTCCCGCCTCCGGCGGCCCGACGCCAGAGCCCGTCCCAACCAAACTTGTGTCCAGGGGACGCGCCCGACAGACCTATTGGAACACGGAGCCCATCGCCCCAGGAGACCTGGGGACCCAGTGCTCAGGGCTCCCCGATAGCATTTGGGCTAGAGGCTATGAATGGAGTAGCTCAGGAGTTGACGCCGCCTACACCTGGGACCCCACAACTAACAGGGGTGCAGAGCCCGCCCACGCCGGAAATTCCAGACCCTGCCTCCCGCGGCGGTCAGCCCTCGCCGGAGGGAGGTGAGCCGGAGCCGCCCTGCGCCCACCTCGTGGGCACCCCGGACGCCGACACGCGCCCAGGAGACTTGGGCTCCGGAGAAGGGGCCTCTGAACGCCCGCGCGCGGCCATTCCGCGACCGCGAGATGTGCGCAAGATGGTGAAGACCACTTACGCGCCCAGCTTCCCCGCGGGAGGCCCCGGTCCAGCCCGGCCCGCTCCTCCCGCGCAGGCCTGCGTGGAGGGCGGCCTCTCGCAGACGCCAGCGCTGCAGGCGCTGAGGTCCCCCGCGCCGGCCCACTACACCTCCGTTCTACTCAAAGACTTTTTGCCAGTCGTGCCGCACCCCTACGAGTCCCCGGAGCCATCCCTCGACACAGCTCCCCGGGACGCCTCGCAGCCCAACGGGGTCCTGCGGCGAAGGGCAGAAAACAGCACGGCGAAACCGTTTGCGCGCACTGAGATTCGCCTGCCGGGTGTCCTGGCCTGGGGCGGGCGGCCGGAGAGAACCCCGGGGGCCCCAGCGCGCAGTGTCCGCCGAGAGCGCGAGGACGTGGAGGCTTCGCGCCTCGGCCTGGACGGCGAGGGTCGGACCAGCCCCCCGGGCGGCGCTCGCTCCTCGCCTCCACGGGCCCCTAGAGCGCCGCCGGGGCCCCGGCCACCCCGCACAGGCTCTCCGCAGGCGCGCCCCGACTCCAGCCCTGGGAAGGCGCCCACCCTGGAGACGCCTGCGATGGCCCCCGAGCCCGCAGCCGCGCTCCAGGCGCCCCTCCCGCCCCAGCCGCGCGCTGCCTCGGCGCCTCCCACGGACCGGTGCAGGCCCGGCTCCTCCCAGGGGACGCGGAGGCCGCCAGGGGCCTCGCAGCCGGGGAAGGTTCTGGTGGACCCAGAGAGCGGCCGTTACTACTTTGTGGAGGCGCCGCGACAGCCGAGGCTCCGGTTGCTCTTCGATCCTGAGAGCGGGCAGTACGTCGAGGTGCTGCTGCCCCCCGCGTCCCCGGGGCTGCCCCGCCGCGTCTACACCCCGCTGGCCGTGGGGCCTGGCCTCTACCCGCCCGCGTATGGGCCCATGCCCGGCCTCGCACTGCCGTCATCCCCGGGCCCGCCGGCCCTCAGCAGCGCCCAGCTGCCCTGGGTCTCTGAGGCAGGACCCCTGGAAGGGCTGTACTACCTGCCTGTGAGCGGGACCCCCAGCCCCGCCCCGCCCCTGCTTTTCTGTGCCCCGCCCTCCAGCGCAGGCCCCCCCCAGCCTGGCAAGGGTTCAGTGGTCCCCTTGTGAGGCCCCAGGCAGGGCCTGATCCCGAGGCTGGGGCTCTTAGATGGCCTTGGAGGTTCTGACTCCCAGTCCCCTGCGCTCTCTCCTCTCATCGCCTCTTTGGTCCTCCCCAGCTAGTCGTGAGACCCGAGAGCGGAAGTGACCTTGGGTGTATCAGAGGCTGATGGAGGTGGAGCTCAGAAAGCGGCTGCCTACTTCCTACCCCCAAATGTATCCCTTTCCCAGGCATTCCCAGGTTTAGTGTGTTTGTGTATGTGTGTATGCAGGCAAGCAAAGACGAAGAAGTGAGGAGCCAGCCCTAGGAGGTTGAAGTTCCCCCAGGGAGCGGCAGAAACGGGAAGCGGGATGGGCTGCCCCAGAGGGGGCAGGCTGTCTGCCCCGCTCCAAGTGGGATCAGATGATGAGCAGACCAGCGGGCACTTTTGAGATCGGGGGCCCTGTGAAATCCATTGTTTGGCAGAGGAGCTGAGCTCCGGCCTGGGGGTCCAGTGGCTGGTGCAGCCTCCAGGCCAGGTTGGGTCTAAGCAAGGGAGCTGCGGAGGGGCAGGTGGAAGTGAAGTGAGTAACACAGGAGGGGGCTGAGAGGCTGCGCCTGGGAGTGAGGGTGCTGGGGTCTGCAGGGGCGCCTAGCTCCCCTTCCTCCCCCAGTCGGGTCTGGCACTGGCTTTTCCTGGGAGCCCTCAGGGCTGAGCTGGCTCATCTGAGGGAGGGGGGCTTCAGCCACTCCCACCAGTAGTGGGCAGGTGAAAGGAATCACCAGGGAGGTCTTCAAAGAGGAAGGGAGGAAGGAAGTTTGGGCTGCTGTTTCAGGGAGCCTCTTGGCCCCTCTGGGTGGCAGAGGGGTGGTCTGGGCTGGCAGTAGGAGGGGTGAGGCATGGCAGAACTGATGGGTCGGAAGCTTTCAGCTGGCTTCGCTCCCTTAGGAATAGATACGGCATCAATGCCCAGAGAGGGGCTGGCCCTGCAGACGCCCCAGCACAGGCAGGGACGGGACCAAACCTGTGCTCCTGAGCTTCCGGGGCTTCTGAGGAGGGCTGGGAGCTGAGGGAAGTCTGCATGAGGTGGAAGGTTCGGACTCTGGTTCTGAGCCGGGAATGGCAGGGCCTCGCAGGGCCAGGATGTGAGGTGATGCATTTGGGAAGGGAGTTTCCCTTAGCAGCAGCATCAGGAATGGGATCAATGCCTTCCTTGGGCCTGGGTCCCATGGCGTCCGTGTCCCCTGAACTGAAAGCTGATGAGGAGAACTATGAGTCAGAATAAGTTGGATGTCTCTTGGCCAGAGACACTAGTCCCTTGGCACAGAGGGTCCTGGGGCCACCCTCGCCGCATCCTGGTACGCAATAAATGGCTGACCATGAGCCATGGTGGCTGAAATGATAACTGGTGTAACGTGCCTCATTTCCTGCTGCGGCCGCTTAGTTCCCTTCCTGATGCCCTTGCCTGCCGAGCTTTGACAGGGTGGAGGAGACCCTGGAGGCCAGGAAAGGGGTACTTCCCACACTGTGGCCTCCCTGCCCCAGTGAGCTTGCCTCCCAGGGAGGGAGCCCCAGGATGGCAGCCACAGTTGTGGCCAAGTTCCTCCTGGTGGCTGAGTGGCTAGTGCGTTTTGGGGGTTAATCAGGCTTGGGTTCCAGTCGCAGCATGAAGGGCCAGGCATATAGCTCAGCAGCACAAGCGCCTGCCTGGCAAGCACAAGGTTCTGAGTTTGATTCCCAGTACCAAAAAAAAAAAAAAAAAAAAATCTCAGCACGGTTCCCCTAGCTAGAGGCTCTATCACGTCTGAGTCTTCACATCTCAGGGGCAGATAAAGATGGCGGTAACCAACCAGCTCCTCCCACAGGGTGCTCAGCACTGCATTGGCACTTGGCTGGGTCACAGCTCATGGGAGCTATTAGCCTCGTGTGTCCTTGCTCAAGCCCACCCCTCAGTGTTCCCTACCGTGAAATGGGGCTGAGTTGCCTGAAGCCCAGGTCCTGCTTGAGAAAGCGCACACGTGGCATTTCTGGGGCCCTGGAAGAGTGGTGAGGTGTCAGTTCCCCATTGGTCTGGGCCAGAGGTGGCCCCACGGCGCACGCGTACCCTACCCACAGCTGTGCTCACTGAGCTGGTTCCAGCGACCATGAGGCTGTCACTGTTGCTGCTTTTGGGAGCCTGGGCTGTCCCAGGGGGGGTTGGGGATAGGGGCTTCCTCTCCGCTACTGCTCCACATCTGGATGAGGAGGAGAAGTACTCAGCCCACATGCCTGCTCACCTGCGCTGTGACGCCTGCAGGGCTGTAGCCTACCAGGTAAGTCCTTCCCCTCGGGAGTCCCCTGGCCCCTGCTAGACCCTTTCATCTACCTTAGATTCCACCACTGGTCCTTGATCCTCACTCCGCAGGAGGCCCCAGATACGGACTTCCATGATATCCCCTCCGCACCCACCTCAGCTTCTGCCTTGCTTAGTTCATCTGCACACCAACAGAGAGCAGAGAGCGGATGGTCTGGGAACCCATGGTATCTTGACATACCCGGAATCATTCACTTATCCTTTTTTAGACTCTTCCAGCTTGATGTGGTGGTGCACACCTATAATCCCCGCACTTGGGAGGCTGAAGCAGGAGGATCACTGTGAGTTCAAAGCCAGCCTGGGCTACATGGTGAACTCAAGGCCAGCCTGAACAACACAGTGAGATCCTGTCACAAAAAAATTAATTAATGAATTAATTAAATAGTTTATGCTCCAGAGCAAGTGTGCCCTGAGGAGGGACCCCATGCCCAGGCCTAAGCTCCCACCTCACCCTTTCCCTCTCCAGCCCAGAGAAGTGGATCCTGCCTCCACTGGCCCCGTCTCAGCTTTGGGCATATGGGCATGGGTCCCGCAGCCCGCCTCACAGGTGCTTCCGGTTCAAACGGCTCCCTCGCCATTTGTTTTCCCCCAGAGACTTGGGCTCCCCTCCTTTCCCCTGCCCCCAAACCTCAGCCTCTCCTTGTTCCAGATGTGGCAACATTTGGCGAAGGCAGAGGCCAAGCTTCATACCCCAGACTCCAGGGGGCGACGGGCGCTCAGTGAGTCGGAATATACAGAGGTCCTGGACCTCAGCTGCTTGCAGAACTGGCAGGAGTGAGTTGTCAGTCTGGGCCCTACCTCCTTCCTCTAGGGGCGGGGCTGGCAGGGACAGGTCCCCGGCCTGCCACTCACCTCATACCCACACTCCACAGGGGCTCTGGCCTAAGAGGGTGCTGGCTGGGATGAAGTCCAGACTCTGGAACTGGGAGCAATGGGAATGCTGATGGCCAGCAGAAAAGTCACTGTGGAAGCTTGGGCCAGGGGCTTTCCCTCTCTGAGCTCAGGAAATGCCAGAGTCCCCAGCCTGGTGTGGAGACAGGTCCCTTTGTGGCTAGCCTACCACCAATGCTATACCCCTCCCTTCCCGCTACCACCAGCTATGGGGTCCGAGAAGTAAACCAGGTAAAACGTCTCACAGGCCCAGGTCTTAGCCAGGGGCCAGAGCCGAGTATCAGCGTGATGGTCACAGGAGGACCCTGGCCCAACAGGTAATAAGGAAGCGGCTGGTCAGGCTGAGGCCTTGGTTTGCCCCTCCACTTCCTATGGGCTGGGCAGAGTCTGAAGCTCTTGCTGGTCTCCCCTAGGCTCTCCAGAATGTGCCTGCAGTATCTGGGAGACCTTGGGGAAGATGAGATCTACGAAGCCCACCACCGAGGCCAAGAGGCTGTGGAGGCATTGCTATGTGGCGGGGCCCGGGGGCCCTGCTTGGCAGAGGCACCAGTCTCTAGGGAAGAGCTCTAGTCCACAACTCCTCCTGGCCCTGAAGAGAAGCTGGACCTCCTCTGAATCTTTTCCACCGAAGCTGGAAGCGGGGTGGGGGGTGGCCTGGCTCAGAGCTGTCACTTTCGTCTCTCCTCCGCTCCAGGGAACTGAGGCCTGGGAGGGACAAGACTTTCCTCTTTGGATTCAAATAAAACCCGGTGACCTGGATGTCTCTCTGCAAAAGCTGTCTGAGGGGCCGGAGGTTCCGATACTGGTGTTTCTGCTAATGTCCTCCTGGACAGGGCCCAGTATACATTTTGACAACTTCCCAGGTGTGAGAGAGCATGGTTGGAAATGTGTGTGAGCTCTGAAGAGCACATGGAAGCAATTTACAAGTACAGGAGCAGCCTGCGTCCTCAGACGCACCAGGAAGGCAGGAAAACTGGGCAGCTACCTTGTGGCCTCTGCTGGCATCTATTCACCCCTTGCTGTCTCTGCCACTCCTGGAGCAGATCCCTCCCTCTGCACCCTGACTGTGACCCAGCTATTGTGGTTGGGCACCAGGCGTGCCCCTGGGACAGGTGGGGCAGGGCTTCTGGAACCAGCCCAGTCAGCCTCTTGCCTCTCATTCTGCTGCTCCTAAAATTCTTCTGGCCAGGGGCCTTGCCCTTAGCAAAGGAGCCCTGGGCTCCACATGGTCTAGGAACCAGGTAGGGTTACAACTTGTATTTTCCTCCCTGAGTGTCTCTGACTCACTAACACCTGTGTGATGGGGCGGGCAGGGGTAACAAGGGAGACAAAGCAAAGGCAGAAATGCCAAATTCGTTTGGTTGCTTTGACTCAGGCTCTCAGTACTTAATTCAGTCTGGCCTTGCACTCACTATATAGTCCAGGCTGGCCTCAAGCACATGGTGATCGTCCTGCCTCAGGCTCATGAGTGATTACAGGCTAAGCCACCTCGCCTTGTTCCTTTATCACCTTAAAACTTTGGGACAGATCCCTGGTCAGATCTACAAGCAGGCATGTTAGTCACTCTGGGAGTGTCTGTGCTACAAGGGTTATTATTCCATTTGCACAGCCTGTCTCATCCCCCTTCAAGACAGAGGCCACCAAGGTGAGAGTCAAGTTTTCAGGATGTGCAAGGACACCTAACTGCCAGCTTTTACAGCACCCAGTTCTGAACTCCCTGAAGCAATGCCTAGATGCCTCAGCTCATTGTTTTAAGGCTGCGATTCCAGATTTGAGGTCAACCCCCAAACACAGTGGAAACAATTATCCTATGACAGCAACTGAGGCTGCCCTGCAAAGCAGAAGCCGAAGCCTGATCTCATCATGGGAACCAAGTACACCCTCAAGCAATGATGGCCCTTCCCAGGACCTCAGAGGACCAGTCCTAAGAAACCAACAACCAGACCCTGACTCTATTATAGACAGCTAAATTAGATAAAAATTAACTTACAGTCAGACAGAGACTGGGATATCAAAGAAGTTGGCAAAGAAAAAGACATCAAAATTGTCACTGAAGGGCCAGGGGTGTAGCTCAGTGGCACAGCACCTGCCTGGCATGCACGAAGTCCTGAGTTTGATTCCTGGTACCAAAAAAAAAAAAAAAAAATTGTCACTGGAGGTGCATCTAGTAAAGACCAGACCTCAAGGTAAAGATGCAACAAGCAGGCCTACACACCTCTCCTAAGGGATAAGCAGTAACTTGGAATTATACTATGGTTGGTATCACCTGGTCCACGAATGTCACCTGAAGGCCACTTGGCTTCAAAGCATATGGCTCCAACCACACTTGTCTTCCATACTGACCTCTTGAGGGCCCAGCCCTGTCTGAGTCCCTATAACCTTTCTAAATAATTTAGTTATCTATAATACTTATAATCTTATTGGTTGATTATAGTTTGACCCGGGTTGTACTCACCTTGTGATTTTATACTTACCTCATGATTTTGCTCTATAAAACATTCATAGAAAAGTGGCCTCAGCCAGGCATGGTGGCACACGCCTGTAACCCCAACACTCGGGAGGCTGAAGCAAGAGGATTGCCAAGAGTTTGAGGCCAGCCTGAGTACATTACAGAGCAAGAGCTTGTCTCAACAACAACAACAAAATTTGCTTCTCAGCCTTTGGCTAAGATTAAGTGTAAAAAAAAGGTAATCTGATTTGACAGATGCGGAAACAGTGGCTTAGACAGTAAGAGGCTCGGATCCCGTTTCAGGCTGAGGAGTGGCAGGGCTGGGAGGGGATTCAGACTTGGGAGGTGGGGCCAGAGTGGCTGCCTCGGAAATGAGGCATCCCACGGAGGCCCCAGGGGCTACCCTGGACCCCTGAACCCCCCACATCCCCACATCCCAGCATCCATTCCAGGATCTGCCTGGGGCCCCTCCTTTCCTGGCCCTCACCCCAGGAAAGAAACCTCCAGCACCAGGAGGGCCAGGGCTCAGGGAACCAGCTGAGCCACCAGAAGTATGAGGTGCAGACCCGGGTGGACACCTGGGACAAGGATCTGCGTGGCCCTGTTCTGTGTGGAGTGACTGAGGGGCTGCACCAGAGTCAGCGCCGTGGACCCCTCTGGGCGACTCTGCCTCTGGACGCCTGCACCTTCCCAGTCTCAGAGTGCTGAGGTTCAGGTTGACTGCAGTGTCCACGGAGCTGTGTCTGTGGGGCGGGATCTGCATGGCCCTCCGGGAAGCCCTGTGAGGAGCCAAGTGTGGAGGAATTGCAGGAACCTGAGAGCAAGATGGACAGACAAACAGGCTGTGGCCAGACAGCCAACAGGATCCAGACTGTGCCATGAAGCTGCTGTCTACCTGGAGAGCAGTGCTGCCTATGGCCCCTCTGGGCTGGGCCTGGCCCGGGGCTCAGCAACGCAGAAGTTGGTGGGCCTTGGGGTGCCGGGGCTGGTGCAGCCCAGAGAGGAGCAGATGAGGATCCCAGGCTTTGCCTTCACCAGCTGAGGAGCCTGAGCTTCTTAGGTCCCTGAACTTCCCCCTCAGACAGGCTTCAGGCCCTTGGGCCAGGCCAAGAAGCAGGCATGCTGGGAGGAGAGAGAGGCCAGGCACAGACCTGGCTTCCGGGGCTATGTGACACACAAGCCCACAGGGTGTGGTGCTTAAAAAGGCCCCGCACTGAGTGTAAAGCGCTGCTGTTGCTATAGTTATTTTGTTTTGTTTTGGTTTGTGGTTCTTTTGGAGACAGGGTCCTGATATATAGTTCAGGCTGGTCTTGAACTCACTATGTAGCCCAGGCCAGCCTTGAACTTGCATCTATCCTCCTGCCTCAGCCTCCTGAGTGCTGAGATTACAGGCGTGGGTCACCATGTCCCAGCGCCTGTTGGTATCTTAAAAATTCAAAATACTTTTAGAACAAGGGCCCCATTCTCATTTGCATCGGGTCTCACAAGCTATACATCAGCTCCCGGCTGGGAGAGGAAAGGAATCCTCCCCCGACACAGGGAGAGTGAGGACTGCGATAGGCAGTGAACGGTGGTGGGAAGAAGCAACCCTGAATTTTAGGACTGATGTTCCGAACCCTTGCAGCCTGCGTGGCCTCAGTCAAATCACACTCCTAAATCTTTCCTCAGCTGTCATTGAAGGGTTAATATCACCCAGCCAAGGTCATGCATGACGATGCATATACAAACATACTGTGGCTTGGTATAAGATCATTTCTCAATAGAAGAATGGTTATTACGATCATGATAAGGACTAACCTGTTATTAATAGGGAAGGGCCTCCTGTGGACATTGATATGATAAAGGCGCACGTACCTAAAAAAAAAAAGCGCACGTGTATCATCCCTTTCTTCTCACCTTTCTCAGGGCTGGGTAAACTTCCAGGACTGTCCCCTCCTCACCTTTCGACTCTGTCCCTCGCTGAGAAAGCAAGAATGAGTCTTGTGCCAGGCTCGTGTGCCCGGGAAGCAAACGTGACAGAGGCCCTGGTGGCCTTCACCACGCCGCCAGTTAATGTCTCACCTCCGCCCAGGGCCCCCTTTCGCAATCCAGAGCCAGGGACCTGGTTACAGATTTACCTGGAACAATGTCTGATGTGTGGAGTAAAGTCCTCCTTGGCCTTTGTAAAGTCATCCTCCCTTCTCCTCAGGAGCTTCTCAGACTTGTGCCCCAAAGATGAGGGCTCAGAAGGACTCGGAGGACCGCACACAGGTGCCGGGGGACTGGAGGGGTGGGGAGGTGAGGGTTGAAGAGACCCAGCCTCTCTGGGGGCAGAGACGGGTCCTCATGAATTGGTTACATGCAACAGTCCCAAGGTGAACCAGGCCAACGGGAAGTGGGGCAGAAGTGGAGGGGAAGGAGACTTTAGCTTTGAGATGGCTGACTTGAGCTTGGGGAGTAGGGGCCCAGCCACCCAAGGACCTCTAGAGGGCAGCCGGTGGGACAGAGTGGGCGTTTCTGCAGTCTGGCGCCCTCTTGGCCCCTCAACCCAGGCCCCATTCCCAGGCCCGGGCGGAGGGCTCTAGGCGTTCTTAGCCGGCAGGATGCAAGTGAAATGGGAGGAGGGGCTGCCCCCCAGCCGAGCGACGGCCGGGTGACAACTAGGCGGATGGACAGCGGGGGAAGTGGAAGCCCCCGGCTTGGACCTCCCTCTGCGGTGCCACTCAGCCCCCTGACTGATTCCAGGGCAGTGATGCCTGTGCCGGGACTCCAAGGCGCGTTGCTTCTCTGCTCCCCCAGGAGTCCCAGCGCTCCGCAGGGGCCTCCGCCAGGAATCCGAAGACGCCCCTGCCCTCAGAGCCCAAATATGACATGTTGTACAAGATCGAGGACGTGCCTCCCTGGTACCTGTGCGTCCTGCTGGGCTTCCAGGTGGGCCAGCCCCAGCGCTCCGCCCCGGGCACGCCCCAGGAGGCCAGCCCTTCGCCGCCTGGCACAGTTATCTCGGGCCAGGGGAAGAGAAGCCTTCGGTCTGCACAGCCCAGCAGGGTGGGGAAGAGGGCAGGGGGCCGGAGAGAGGACTGCAAGGGGCACAGGGAGGAGGCCCAGGGTAACTTGGGGACATTACTGTCCGGGGCGGTGAGCAGTGGCTCTCTGGGAATTCCCACGGGGAGTGGCCTGTGGCTGGCGCGCTTCAGGGTGGGCCAGTGCAGGCCCACGGAGGCAGGCATGCGGGTCGGTGCTTCTGTCTCCCTGTTAGCCTGGGGCCCTGCCTCAGACCCTCTTCTCTCCTGCCGCAGCACTACCTGACCTGCTTCAGCGGGACCATCGCGGTGCCCTTCCTCCTGGCCGAGGCGCTGTGTGTGGGACGTGACCAGTACATGGTCAGTCAGCTCATTGGCACCATCTTCACATGTGTGGGTGTCACCACTCTCATCCAGACCACATTGGGCATTCGGTGAGCCATCCCTCCCCTACTCTCGAGAATGTGTGTGCACACGCATGCACACGTACACCGTAATTCCCACAGCAATGGCAAGAACAATTTATAAAAACTTTGTTTCCATCTTTCCTTCTATTCTTTTTTTAAAAGTATAGAAGGAACCTCTTGCTCAGGGGGCTTTTATGGTGAAAAAAAAAACCACAACAAACTAAGCTGGTTATGGTGGCCCACACTTATAATCCCAACATTCTGGGAGGCTGAGGCAGGAGAATCACAAGTTAGAGCCCATGGGATAAAGAAAATGTGGTGGGCCAGGGATATAGCTTAGCCGCACAAGTGCTTGCCTGGCAAGGGCAAGGTCCTGAGTTCAATTCCCAGTACCAAAATTAAAAAAAAAAAAAAGAAAGAAAGAAAGAAAGAAAAGAAAAATGCACCAGAAAATGTGGTATTTATAGACAATGGAGTAGTACTCTGCCATAAAGAAGGATTAACTTGAGACATCTTTAGGTAAGTGGATGTACCTAGAGACCATATTTTTAATTGAAATAAACTGACCCATATGTTTAAATATCACATTATTTCTCTTGTATGAGAAACCAAAAGCATAAAGAAGGACCAAAATGGGGGGCTGGGGATTTAGCTCAGCGGCACAGCGCCTGCCTAGCAAGCACAAGGTCATGAGTTTGATTCCCGGTACGGGAAAAAAAACAAAAAAAACACAAAAAAACAAAACAAAAAAGGACCAAAATGGATGCTAGATATTGGCAAGTAGGAAGAAAATGTTCAAATGGGAAGGGGAACAAAGGAAGGGGAGGAAGGAAGAGAGAAAGAGAAAAGGAAAAAAGAGAATAGAAGGAAAGATGGAAACAAAGCTTTTATAAATAAGGCAGGAAAAGGGGTTGAAGGGAGGCGAGAGGAATGGGGAGAAGAAAAAGAATCAAGGTACATAATATCCAGATACAGATTCCCTCTGAGGGATGTGATCATTATGTATATCAAAAGTGTACCAATAAAATGAATTTTAAAAATGTTGGAGCTCAGTCTGGACAATTTAGAGACTTAATGAGACTCTAAAAAAATAATACATAAAAAGGGCTGGGAATGTAGGTCAGCACAAAGGCTCTGGGCTCAATCCCTAGTACACAAAGGCAAAAACACCCAACCCATGGTCTGCGCCTTGCTGCGGCTCCTATCCCCAGGCCAGTGTTAGCACTGGGAGCTGGATGCTGACCCTGGGCCACTCAGTGTAGGGGGCCTACTTGGTGCTCCTCAAGCATGAGTTTGGATGCTTGAGAGAACGTGTCCTAGCTGGGCTCTCTCTGTCTCTCTCTCTGTCTTTCTCTTTCTCTCTCTTTTTGGTACTGGGGATTAAATCTAGGGCCTTTCTACTGAGCTACAACCCCAGCCACCACCTCTACCCTTTTTTAATTTTTAATTTTGAAGTTAGGCATAGTGGTGCACACTTGTAATACTAGCACTCGGGAGGCTGAGGCAGGAGGATCACTGTGAGTTTGAGGCCAGCCTGGGCTACATAATGAGTTCAAGGCCAGCTGGAATACATAGTGAGAACTTGTCTCAAAAAATTGTTTTTTAAGCCAGGCGTGGTGGCGCACACCTGTAATCCCAGCACTCGGGAGGCTGAGGCAGGAGGATCGTTGCAAGTTTGAGACCAGCCTGGGCTACAAAGTGAGCTCAAGGCCACTTGAGCTTCATAGTGAGATTGGATGCGGAAGAGAGTGAGGCCCTTGCCCCAGCGGTAGCCAGGCAGTGGGAGGGCGACACTGCGCAGGTACTGGGAGAAGAGGACGATCAGGAGAATGGAGCTGGGGGCAGAGGCACAAGGAGGAGGTGGCTGGTAGTCCAGCCACTATGAACTTCATAGTGAGACTGTCTCAAAAAAAAAAAAAAAAAAAAAAAGACAAAAAACAAACAAACAAAAAAAATTTTTTTTTAAAAAAATGTAGAGACAGTCTTACTATGTCAGTAAACCTCTGAATTACCCAGGCTGGGTTTGAACTTGAGATCCCCTTTCTCAGCCTCCCGGAGTGCTGAGATTATACCACCACGCCCCGCTTCCCTCCGTGTGTGTGTGTGTGTGTGTGTGTGTGTGTGTGTGTGTATGTGATTTTGAGACAGGGTAATGCTGTGCAGTTCAGGCTGGCCTTGAACTCACTTTGTAGCCCAGGCTGGCCTGGAATTCACAACAATCCTCCTGTCTCAGCCTCCCGAGTGCTGGGATTACAGGTGTGCGCCACCACATCAGGCCCGCTTTCCCCCTTTTAAGGGATATGCTGTGTGCATAGCGCACCTCTTTTCCCTGCCCTGATGGCTTGACAGCTTCTAGGGTCTGACTGGGTCAGAGGGAACAGGATGGTAGTTTGATGTGCAGTGGGGGATGCCAAGGGCATGAGCAGAGTTTGGGAGTCGGAACAGAGCCCTGCTCTTTGTTCCCCTGGGCCCTGGACATCGGGTGGGAGCTGCCCCCTGCAGGAAGGAATGGGCAGGTTCGGCACTAGAGGAGGCATTTGTCTCTTGCTTTGGGTCTGTCCCACCCCAGCCTCAGTGACCTCCCTCTGCTGCCCCACCCATGTGCCTCTGTCTGCCCTGTCTCTAATCTTCTTCCATTCACCCCACCCCTGCCACCCCACACCTCTCCTCTAGGCTGCCCCTGTTCCAGGCCAGTGCCTTTGCATTTCTGGTTCCAGCCAAAGCCATCCTGTCCCTGGAGAAGTGGAAATGCCCACCAGAAGGTGCGCCCAACTGGGGTCTCTGGGCTGGAGGAGAAGGGAGGCCCCCCAGCCTGCAGGTTTGGGCCAATGTCCTGAACACAGACAGCAGGGTGGATTCACTGCAGCATTTTCTCTCCCTCCCTGTCTCCGTGCCCCAGAGGAGATCTATGGTAACTGGAGCCTGCCTCTGAACACCTCTCATATCTGGCACCCACGGATGAGAGAGGTGAGTTGAAGGGCCAGGGGCCAAGGGGGGAACTAGATGGGAATAAAGGCCCCTATTGAGTTGGGGGGACTTGAGGCAGTTGGAGAACTGCCAGTGGCCAGGTCATGGTCTTCATATAGTGACTTACAGCTGGCTTTGCCCTTCTAGATCCAGGGTGCAATCATGGTGTCCAGCCTAGTGGAGGTGGTGATTGGGCTGACGGGGCTGCCTGGGGCCCTCCTCAGCTACATTGGGCCTCTCACGGTCACCCCCACTGTCTCCCTCATTGGCCTCTCCGTCTTCCAAGCTGCTGGTGACCGAGCTGGCTCCCACTGGGGCATCTCAGCCTGGTGAGCAGCACCAGGCCTGATTCCTTCCCAGCCCCGCCTCCGCCTCTCCACCCCTCCATGTCCTGTCCCTTTAGTCCTGGCTTCCGTCCCCAGCCTGGACTACCAGCCACCTCCTCCTTGTGCCTCTGCCCCCAGCTCCATTCTCCTGATCGTCCTCTTCTCCCAGTACCTGCGCAGTGTCGCCCTCCCGCTGCCTGGCTACCGCTGGGGCAAGGGCCTCACTCTCTTCCGCATCCAGATCTTCAAGATGTTTCCTGTGAGGAGGTGACAGGTGGCTGGGCCTGGGACTAGGGCAGGGCCTAGGTGAGGGCTCAGACCTATGCTTGGGGCGAGGGGGGGGGGAGACAGAGATAGCATGGGGGCCGGAGCAGAGATGCGGCCCTCGCCAGAGCTGGGGCAGGTACTGGGGCTGGAACTGAGTGTGGCAGGGGCTAAGGCTGGGCCGAGGCCGGGTTGAGGTGGGAGTGGTTAGCCTGCTGGAGACCGGCAATGCCTGCAGCTACCCCTCCACTACCCCACTTCAGATCGTGCTAGCCATCATGACTGTGTGGCTACTCTGCTATGTGCTGACACTGACAGATGTACTGCCTGTGGATCCGGCAGCTTATGGCTTCCAGGCACGAACTGACGCCCGTGGGGACATCATGACCATTTCGCCCTGGATCCGCATCCCCTATCCCTGTAAGCACCCCTGCTTGGGCCCTCTGGCCCCGACTGAGACACTTGTGAGATGCCTGGCGACCCTGATTCATCTGATGACAGAAATAGGGCTAACCACAGCTCTGCTCCCAGCCCCCCAGCTGGAGATAGAACCTAAGGTCTTTGTACTGAGCTATGTCCCAGCCCTTTTTTATTTTGAGATAGTTTCACTAAATCGCTAAATTGCTCAAGCTGGGCTGAAAATTGTAATCCTCCTGTTTCAGCCTCTCAGAGTGCTGGGATTATAGGTGTGTGCCAGCGTCCCTGTACCCAGGTTTGCCACAGATTTATAGTGCCAAGAAGAGTAGTGTTCTCTCAGACAGAAGCTTCACCCCAGCTCCATGCCTCTGAATACCCCAAATAAGTTCTCATAATTGCATGGCCCCTACCCCAGCTTGAGGCCTCCCCACCACCAGCTCCTCTCCCTCTCAAGAACTGCCCTGTCCATTCCCAATCCTCCAGGCCTCCTCGCTGTAGCCACCCTCTTGCCTCCCCCTCCAGGTCAGTGGGGCTTGCCCACAGTGACCGTGGCTGCTGTCCTGGGAATGTTCAGTGCCACACTGGCAGGTATCATTGAGTCCATTGGTGATTACTATGCTTGTGCCCGGCTGGCTGGTGCACCGCCCCCTCCAGTCCACGCTATCAACAGGTACGCTCACCTGCCCACCTCAACTGCTGACACTCTGGAGGGGCCACATGGAAGCAAATATAGAGATAGCTTGAGTGCCAAGAGGTGCAGCCGTGGGCGAGCAAGTCACTCACACCTCCAGACCTCGTTTTCCTTGGTGACGGAACAAGGGCATAGCTGAGGAGGTACAGTCACAGGGAAACCACAGTCACTGACACCTTCCATGTTCCCAGCTCTTCCTTTGCCTTCTCTCAGGCAATCCAGTAGCCACGAGACAGCTCCACTGTATCTCCACTGGACAGACGAGGACATTAAAGTCCAATTGCCCAGGGTACTGGGACCGGCATCTGTTTTATTTATGTATTTATGTATTTATTTTTATTTATTTAATTTATTTTTTTTTTTGCGGTACTGGGGATCGAACTCACGACCTTGTGCTTGCCAGGCAAGCGCTTAAGCCACTGAGCTATATATCCCCAGCCCCTGGGACCAGCATCTGTACCAGGGCTGAGCTTCCAGACCTCCTTGTGGCCTGGAGTGGGGAGTACTTCCCACCCGCAGTGACGGCCCGGCCCTTACAGCCCCGGTGGGCAGGAAGTGTGACAGGGGAATGGGAGGACACAGCCGGCAAAGGGGCTGGACTAAGCGTCTCCCCCTTTCATTACAGGGGCATCTTCACCGAAGGCATCTGCTGCATTATCGCGGGACTGTTGGGCACAGGCAACGGGTCCACCTCGTCGAGTCCCAATATTGGTGTCCTAGGAATTACCAAGGTGCCGCCACGAGGCAGGGCAGCACAAAATTCTGTCCGGGTTCCAATCCACCCCCGGCAGGACCCCAGGCTGGACCCTACCCGGTCTAGCTCCGCCCCGTGTGAGGCCCCGCCCCTAACTAAAGCCCCGCCCACTCAGGCCCGGCGCTAACACTTGCCCCGCCGTCGAGTCCCCGGTTCTACCCCTGCTCCTGGCTTCCTGGCAGGTGGGCAGCCGCCGCGTGGTGCAGTACGGTGCGGGTATCATGCTGGTCCTGGGCGCCGTCGGCAAATTCACTGCCCTGTTCGCCTCGCTCCCCGACCCCATTCTGGGGGGCATGTTCTGCACCCTCTTCGGTGAGTGCCGGGCGCTGGCCTGGGTGCGCTGCAAGAGTCAGGTCGCCCCTCCCTCAGCCCCGAGGCGTCTGTTTTCTTGCCCCCGCAGGGATGATCACGGCCGTGGGGCTGTCCAACCTGCAGTTTGTGGACATGAACTCCTCCCGCAACCTTTTTGTGCTGGGCTTTTCCATGTTCTTCGGGCTCATGCTGCCTAATTACCTGGACTCCAACCCCGGCGCCATCAACACAGGTGCTTGCTGCTTGTTCCCCAGAGGTTGGGGTGGGGGCGGGTCGCTCAGTGGTAGAGCGCTTGCTGAGCATTCACAAAGCCCGTGGTGCGGTTGGACCCCTAGCGCTGCAAAAACAAAAGCTCTGAGCACAGCCCATTCCCTCCAAAGCTTCATACAGGTAGAGCCACAAATCCTTCCCAGCTCTGGACGTCAGTATCAGAGAGGCTCATTAACAGCTGTCCTTTACTAAAACACTTTCTGTGGACAGTATTGAGCATTTATTTACATATGCTATGTAATTTTCAAAAAAGTTCCATGAGACTGATACTATCATTTCCACTCAGCTTGATTAAATGATTTGTCCCAAGTCAACGACTAGCAGCTGGCAGAACTGGGATTTGAACCAAAGATGGGAGGGACAGAGGTAAACTTGAAAGTCAGGGCTTTGTGCAGTTTCCTGGCCATGACTGCTCAAGGAAGTCAGTAGTGTAAAAAAAAGGAAGTCGGTAGTTTGCACGTGGGATGTCCCGGAGTTCTGCTCACTAGAGTGTGCCACAACACCCATTGGCCTTTGGCCTGTTCTACAGGAGCTCCTGAAGTGGACCAGATTCTGACTGTGCTGCTGACCACAGAGATGTTTGTGGGCGGATGCCTTGCTTTCATATTGGACAACACAGTGCCAGGTATGGGTCAGCCTTGCAAGGGAAGTACAGAATGAGATTTGACTCATATGCAGTCCACCAGATGGCCACTGAGCTGGGGATGTGGCCAGGTCTGAGGCCAGGCAGGTCCTGAAGGAGCAGTAGGAGCAGATGGGCTGCTGGAGTGCCTCATGGTTAGAGAGAAAGAGGCACAGACATACCTTGTAGGTCTTGGAGTGGGTGAGGCCAGGAGTTATTTCTGGGTCTTATGAAAGAAAGTCTCCTTTCCTCTGTGTGTGTGTGTGTGTGTGTGTGTGTGTGTGTGTGTGTGTGTGTGCGTGTGTGTGTGTGTGTCTGTCCAGGGCCTTAAGTGGTCTACCTCTGAGCTACATCCTTAGCCCTTTTTGAGACAGGGTCTTGCTAAGTTGTCTAGGCTGGCCTTGAACCTGTGATCCTCCTGGCTCAGCTAGGATTACAGGTGTGCACTGTCATGCCTGGCTCCCTTTCCTTACCATTTCTTGATAGCCACTGGGTTGAGGGATATCTTGCTTTCATGGAGTAGTTAGATATAAACTCCTCAGTTTGTTGGTAAAATCCACTCCAAGTATGTTAGCAGACTACCGTGCTGGCTAATAGAAGAATCCCAACACGTACCTTTGGGAGTGGAGTGTTTTGTAGTGATTGTGCAGGATAGTTTGTGGTATACCAAATACAAGTGTGCCCAGTAAATCTATAAAAAACAATGTCATCAGGCACTCTAATAAGCACATGAGTCAGACATGGCACCAAACATCTCATTTTGCCCTTAAAAACTATGACCATATAGTGAAAACCTGTAATTCTAGCACTCAGGAGGCCGAGTCAGGAGGCTCACTCCGAGTTCGCAGCCAGCCTGGGATACATGCAGAGACCCAGAAAAACCAAACCAAACCAAACCAAACCAATTCCAAACCAAATAAACAAAAATTATGACCACAAAGTCAGTCTCAGAATTGGACAGCACAAATCTTAATTTCTGACACAGTCCCTGGCTATGTGCCAGCCACAGTACCGCACTGCCTCTGCTAGAGGGTTCTAGGCTGCAGGCTGGGAGAGGTTCATGATGAGCTAATGACTGCATCAGCATATGGACAGGGGGTAGGGTGGTGGTCCTCTATGACCAGCTGCTTACCAGTTGGAACAAAATCACAGCTCCTGCCTGCCTCGGAAGCTCTGAGGGTTGAGGCTGGCAGAGAAAAGCAGTCAGGGGTTGTGTTCAGATGTGGGCTGCACAACAAAGCTCAAGGCATCTCATAAGATTCTAGGCCAGAATCAGATGATGTTGTTTTTTGTTTTTAAGACAGGGTCTTGCCATGTAGTCCAGGCTAGCTTCAAACTCGCTATGTAGCTCATGCTGGCCTAAACTCAGTGGGATCCTCCTGCCTCAGCCTCCGAGTTCTGGGATTACAGGCGTATGCCACCATGCCAAAGTTGTATGTTGCTTGTGGAGGAACTGAGGATTGAACCCAGGGCCTTTGAGTCCTACATCAGGGTCTCATCAAGTCACTAAGTTTCCCAAATTGGGCTTAAAATTTTGATCCTCCTGTCTCAGCCTCTCAGAGGACTGGGATTACAGATGTGTGCCACCATGTCTGACTGGATGATAGCACCTTGGCAGTAGCTGTCCTCTGGATGGGTAGCAACTCAGCTATGACACCCTCCTCTTTTAGAGAGCCAGGCTGGGGCTGGAACAGTCCAGCTTGTGGTTCTGAGTTAAACGGCGGCTTCAATGCTTAGAAAATCTTGGTAGATAAAGGGCCTCTGAATGGGCCTCATCGCCTCGAACTACCTGGCTGAGTCCTTCCTGTCACTAACCTCCAAGAGAACTGAACTTCAGCAGTCATCTGTTATGCCATGTGATCTTCAGTAGCCCTTTAATCTGCTTTGAGGAAGGACACAAAGCTCAGAGTGGTCAAGTTACTTGCCCAAGGCCAGACAACCTGCATTCAAACCCAGGCCTGGCTGGCACAGAACCCAGTCCTTAACCATGGACCAGCACAGCTCTCTAGCTCTTAATGTGCAGAAAAGCCACTGCCCGCAAGGTTGAATGTAGGCCTTACACTGAGCTAATTTCCAGCCTTTTTTATTTTTTGAGCCAGAGTTTTGTCAAGTTGTCTAGGCTTAAGTAACATTTGCAATTCTCCTGCCTCAGCTTCTCAGAATCCTGGGATTACAAGCTCGCACCACCACACTCAGCTCAGACATTTCAAGTATATGGGTGCAGTTCAGTGGTAGAGCACATGCCTAGGATTTGTGAGGTCCTGGGTTCAACCTCTAGCACCAGTGAAAAAAATTTTGTTACCAAAGTCTGCCCTACGACAAACTTATAGGAAGGGAGGTAGGAGGACTTGCTGGCTTTGGTAAATGACCCCACTGTCCTCTTCCAGGGAGCCCTGAGGAACGAGGTCTGATGCAATGGAAAGCTGGGGCCCATGCCAACAGTGAGATGTCTGCCAGCCTGAAGAGTTACGACTTCCCCATTGCGATGGACACAGTGAAAAAGATTGCCTTTCTGAACTACATCCCCATCTGCCCAGTCTTCAAAGGATTCTCTCTGAGGTCAAAAAACCAGCTGCCAGTTCTAGAAGACACTCCAGAAAATACAGAAGCTGCGTCTGTGTGTACCAAGGTCTGAAAAGTTCCTTCCAGAAGGTAGGATGTGCTGATGGTGTTTGTGGGATGGCTGAATAATCAAAACATTGTCTCAACAATGCCCCCTCCCAACTACTGTATCCACTTCTGTGACCTCTTTGGGTGTCCTTAACGGAAGGTGGACTGGGCAAAGTCAATGTATGGATTCTAGGTGGAATTCCTTAGCCATTTTACAATTACAGGAACTTTCCCAATTTGTATTGGCCACTCGGTAGTTACAACTTGTGAAATATTGATTTTCCCAGATACCTGGGCACAATCTGGGCCAACTAGAGTTCACCAGCTAGTCACCGACATTCCAGTATGCTGAACAAATACCTGACATTTGACATGGAAAAGGCCAACAAATCCTGACACAGCAAAATGGAAAAACCTTCTCCTATATGCTTATTTCAGGAAGTTCCCTGAAGTAGGCTGACTTTGGTAACCCTAAAGCTACATCACACAAGCCCGGGTGAGACGCTTGCTTCTGATGTGCAGGTGATGGTGAACCTTTACGTGTCCGCCAGGAATGCGGAACACAGAGTGCTCCCAACACTTCAGTGCTTTCACTGTGCACGTGCCTCCGGGTGTACCGAAAGTCCTAAGAGATGAGCCTTTCTGGTTTTTTTTTAAAGCACTGGAGATTGAACCAAGAGACTGTGGAACCACACCTCCAGTCCTTTAAATTTAAGAACTTTTCAGACCACATCTGGGCTTGAACTTGTGATCTTCCTGCCTCAGCTGGGTAGCTGGGATTACACATGCACCATCAGGCCCAAGTTTTTTTCCTCTTTGATGTTGGGGGCCAAACTTGGGGCCTCATACATGTGAAGCACATGCTGCTGCACCACTAAGCTTACACCCCAGCCCTAGACTTTTTTTTTAATAACAAGAACACCAATCACTTAAACAGGACATTCTGTGTGTGAGGACTGCCTTAAGTGTTTCATGTATAGTAATAATCACCATCTGGAGGTAGATAATTCTTATTGTAAATTGAATATCACTTACTGAAGAATTTACAAATCTTTGTCAGATTCTAGAATATTTGTGTAAGACCCTCTGGTTAAGCACCTCTACTTTGAAATCTAAAATGCTGTATGGGATGGTCACTCAGTGAATTGCCTAGCATGTGTGAAGCCCTATACTGCAAAATAAACAAAACACTCTGAAATACAACACTTTTTAAAATGTCCTCATCACATTTTAGGTATGTGCAGACGAAGGCACATAAAGTTTTACTGGCCGGGAATATGGCTCAGCAGCACAAGCACTGGCCTGGCAAGCACAAGGTCCTGAGTTCAATTCCTGATACAAAAAAAAAAAGTTTTACTGACTTGTGCATGATCACGAGAATCACATTTAAGTCTGGCTAGAATCTTTACACTTGATCATTAGATTATGGTGCCTAATTGGTGGCAATTACACGCACTGCAATTATTCAGGAGTATGTGGAAATGAACTCATTTGCCCCTGAGCTCAGAGGGAAAAATCCTGTCTCATATTTGGCATCTGGCTGTGCCCGTTCTTTTTATTTTGAGACAGGGTTTCACTATGTGGTCCAGACTGGCCTCTAACTGTTGGCAATCCACCTGCCTCAGCCTGCAGAGTGCTAGGATTACAGATGTGCTCAACCATCCCTGGCATGTGCCACTTGTGATCCAGAGCTATTAGAGAACAGAGGGAAGACTGAGGGCTGAATCATGGCTTAAAAAAATAAGTCAAGCATGACTATTTCAGGACTTCTTTTTTTTTCTTTACTTATTTTTTGGTACTGGGAATCGAACTCAGGACCTTGTGCTTGCTAGGCAGGCGCTTATGCTGCTAAGCTATATCCCCGGCCCCAGGACTTCTTTTAAAAACCCACTTATTGCCAGGGATATAGCTCAGTGCCACAGCGCCTTGCTTGGCAAGCACAAGGTCCTGAGTTCAATACCTAATACCAAAAAATGGCCCCAAAATAAAAACCCAACCACTTATTGTAGGCCGGACATGGTGGCACACACCTGTAATCCCAGCACTCAAAGGCTAAGGCAGATCATTATGAGTCTGAGGCCAATCTGCTTGCACAGCAAGACACTATCTAAAAATCAACACCCTCCTATTGCCAGACATGGTGGTGGGTACCATGATTTTCTTTTTATTCCCAGCACTCTTTGAAGATGAAACAGGAGGATCTTAAGTTTGAGCCTACTTTAGGAAATTTAATTATCTCAAAATAAAAAAAAAAAGGGCTGAGGAGGTCGCTCAGTGTTAAGGCGGCCCTGGGTTTAAAATTTAGTACAAAGGGCAAGAGTGGTGGTGCAGGCCTGTAATCCCACAACTCAGGAGGCTGAGGCAGGAGGATTGCTTCAAGTTAAAGCCAGCCTGGGCTACCACAGTGAGTTCAAGGCCAGCATGAACTACACAGCAAGACTCTGTCTAAATAAAAGGCTGACAATGTAGCTCACTTCCCATTATAGGAAAAAACAAAAGGTAGCTATTTAAAACTAAGTAGAAAAGGGCCAGGTATGGTGATACACCTGTATGGCTAGCCTTTCCAGTCTCCCAACATGGCTATCTACAATTGCCCTCACCCTGCAGTCTCAGGCAATAAAAAGCCCACACAGGGTGGTTGGGTTTATTTCACTAGTGTATTGTGGAAAGATAATGTGCACAGCAACTTACTTGCTACTATGGATTCCAATGAACCTGCTTTCTCAGCATGGTTTGCCCACAGGATTGTACTGTACATTAGAGCAGATATCACTACTGGATAGTCTGTCTTTTTTTTTTCCCCCGGTACTGGGAATAGAACTCACGACCTCACGCTTGCCAGGTAGGCACTGTGCTGCTGAGCTAAATCCCCAGCCCCAGTACTGGATAGTCTGTAGTCTAGCACCAATAAACACACAGCAGCTCAGTTCTACTATTATTTTATTTTTTTAAATATTTTTGAAAAAATATAATTTTTTTACAATATTTTCAACTTAAACACTATTCACACTGAACACGTATGGCAGCTTAACCTACCCAAATATGAAGTTTAAGAAGCCAAAACTGTTCTAGCTTTGTTAAAAAGAAAAGTTGTGCTGCAGACTACTGTCATGATGGTTAACAAAGCAAGGAAAAGCACCATTCAACTCATGTAACAATCTGTTCAACTGGATTACAGGCTGGTGTTTGTCCCAAATTAGACTTCACACAGGTATGGCTGTGATAAGGTGAATCCTCAGAAGACACAATTCCCAAATCACATATTCCTCAAATGTATCACTAGAAGAATTCAGAATTTTTAACATGATAACATACCAGAAAAGCTAGGACTAGCTCTTTTTTATCATTACCTTGTTACCTCAGTCACCAAAGACACAGAATTATTTCAAATTAACAGGCATTTTTCAGAAAAACTTCGTTTTTTTTTGAGACAGGGTCTTGCTATTTATAGGTCAGACTGGCCTTGAACTCCCTATGTAGATGAGGCTGGCCTCCAACTCACATCAGAGGAATATCCTTGAGGGAGAAGGATTGCTAAGGACAAATATATTTGAGAAATCTGGAATATAATTTAAATTTACTCATTTCTACAAAGTGTTGACATTAACAAGTGTCAGTTAATCCTAAGGGACCAGTTTAGCCTCAAAGATGACAATGCTGTAAGATTTAGAGTTTGTTTAATTTGGTGCTTTATCACAACTTGACTGGTGCTTCTTTCCTCGCTGTCTTTATATTAAGCCATGGGGCCAATTCTATTTTCAGTAAATGTTTGACAGCTTTTTACTTAATAACAGTCTCAGCACTTTTATTAAGCATGCAAGACTAACAAAAACTTTGGCAATGCATAAGTGTAACACAGTGACGAGAGAGCTTTTACAATTAAGTCAGATTCTAATACTGCCTTCACAGTGTGGAAATTGTGCTACATCCACCAAAAGAGGGCCCCGTCTACTCAAATGTTTTAGTACTTCACCCCAGGAACAAACTCCTTTGCATTTGGATTCAGATTGCTCTTGACCTGGAAAATAAATACATGAAAAAATCAAGTTCATTACAAATGGCTCCAGATACGCAGAAGCATTCAGCCTATATCCACATGCAAAAATACCTTTTTCTGTATCTGAATTTGAACTCAGGACCTCGTGATTGCCAGACAGGCACTGTGCCACCAAGCTATATACCTGGCCAAAAATACCCTCTTAAAAAATGTAAAACAAAAGCAAAAACTCAAGATTTTAAGGTTATACTTCACCCCAAAAAACCTACAGCAGCCCAGCACTCAGGAGGCTGAAGCAGGAGGATCGTTTTGAGTTTGAGGCCAGCCTGGGCTACAAAGTGAGTTCAAGACCAGCCAGAATTGCATAGTGAGACCCTGTCTCAAAAAGACAAAACAAAAACAGAAACAAAAATTAAAAAACACACAAAACCAAGGCAGGAAAAGGAGGACCCTGATATAAGCTAATATTGCATTACATAAAATTGTATCAATTTTCTAAAGATAAAGTAGGAACTGAAAGTAAGTCTCAAGTGTAACTAGAAACCTACCACCTTCACATAAACTAAAGGAATAGCACTGAATAAGGAATTCTGTTAATCTGATGATTCCTGACTTTCCTTTATTTTTGGTCTTTTTTGAGACAGGGTCTTGCTATGCAGTTCAGGCTGGCCTTGAGCTCACTTTGTAGCCCCAGCTGGTCTACGAACTTGCAATGATCCTCCTGCCTCAGCCTCCCAAGTGCTGGGATTACAGGTGTGCGCTACCATGCCTGGTGATCCCTGACTTTCTTAAAACATTTTCATATCACGCAAACATGTTAAACAAGTGTTGAAATTGTACTAAAGTAAATGGGGCACTGCTGATGGATGATCCTCACTGAAAACATGGAAGTTATTTTCCTACAACTGCTATCTTCTAATTCCAACAGGAGGCATGGTATGTAACAGGAAAAGAGAACTACATGGGGAGCCAGAAGATGTAAGTCTGAAATCCCAGCTCTGCCCCATGTACCTTCCTGTGTATGCCACGATAAATCACCCTGACACTCCATTTTTGCAACAGTTTGAACGAATGGGAGAAGTGGCCAAAGTCTCTAGGAGCTGTAGAGACTTGTACCAACATTATTCTAAGTTTCTAAATCTTTACTTTCCTGTGCAGACATGTCAGTGTATAGGAAGAATAGTTGGAAATCTTCAATTGCATTTTGGAGAGCAATGATAAAAAGAAAAGGAGGACAGATTCCCAGGCCTAAATTCAGGCATGCTGGTAGGGTTTTAGACGGAATTTGTCCCCTCTATCACTTACTTGAGGACAAAAACATAATATTAAACAACACATTTAGCCGGGTATGGTGGTGCACGCCTGTAATCCCAGCACTCGGGAGGCTGAGGCAGGAGGATTGTAGCAAGTTCAAGACCAGCCTGGGCTACAAAGTGAGCTCAAGGCCAGCCTGAACTGCATAGTAAGACCCTGTCTCAAAAAGACACACACACACACAAAAAAAAAACCACCCCAAAAAACAAAAAAACCAACACAATGGAGCAATAACTTAATCTTAGTTTCATAACACAACAATTTCCTTGGACAAGATGTAGTCTCCTTCCTCCCAGGGGAAGTATGTCTGACTGTAAGTGTACAGTTTAGGGATAGGGAAGTAGTTTATTGATAAAAGCGTCTGCTCAGCAAACTTGAAACTCTGGCTTCAACCTGCAGTATCACATACACACAAAAAAGTCAAAAGTGTATAGTTAAAAAAGCAGTATTCTTATATACACACGCTTCTGGCAGTTATAGAAGAGTAAGAACAATCTCAAATAGAACAAAAAGAACAAACCAGTTCATGAATTATGGATTTATACTGGGTTCAGATTAAAATCATACTGCACAAGCCAGGTGCAAGTCTATAATTCCAGCACTCAGGAAGCTGAGGCAGAACGATCGACGCAAATTCTTTCTATGAAGCTGAGCTACATAGAAAGACCCTGTCTAAACAAAGTTAAACTGTTCATTAAGCCTAGCAAGAGGCTTTACTTATCAGGGCACGAGGTGACTAACGTAGCCATAAGCATGCTGCAACAGACTTCTAAGATTACGCATCTATTCAACGGGGTTAAGTCATTTACTGCCACAAAGGCTATACCAAGGTAAATTTCAGTGTCTTCCATATAGTCCTTTAGAAGAATGATTTCCAGAAGGCTGGTAGGCAGGACAGCTATATAATAAATCTTCCACAGTGCTTTTTACAAAATTAAACTGCTCAAAAGACTGATTTTCCAAGTCTAGAATGTAGCTGAGGAACTGATTTTTGTTTGTGATGCTTCATAGATAGTTAAGATATACAGCGTAAGAAATTAATGCAGCCCCGGATATAGCTCAGTGGCACAGCACCTGCCTGGCAAGCACAAGGTCCTAAGTTCAATTGCCGGTACAAACAAACAAACAAACAAATAAAGGGAAGTTTAGTTTAAAAAAAAAAAAAAAAAAAAAAAAAAAAAGGTGGACGTGGTGGCACATGCCTGTAATCCCAGCACTCGCAGTTGGGAGGCTGAGGCAGGAGGACCATTGTGAGTTTGAGGCCAGCCTGGGCTACAAAGTAAATTCAAGACCAGCCTGAACTGCAATAGTGAGGCTCTGTCTCAAAAAGACAAAACAAACAAACAAACAAACAAAAACACCAAAAAAACACAAACAACTAAAGAAACCCTAAAAAAAAAAAAAGAAATTAATGCACAGTTAACAGGAGATTACTGCAAAGCACAACAAAAAAACCGACCACACGCAAAAAACAAAACACTTCAGAGTTTAGTGGATAAATTCCAGAGAACTATTTGGTAGACACAATGATTATATATGTGAATGATCTTTCTGCCTCCGCATCTGGAATAGGTAGGATTATAGGTGTGTATCACTATGCCCAGCCAAAATTTTTTTTTGAGATTAATCTTACTATGAAGCACAAACTGGTCTTGAACTAACTATGTAGGTGGCCTCCAACTTGTGATCCTCCTGCCTCAGCTTCTAGAGTGTGGGATTACAGGTGAACACAATCACACTCTGGCAAAAATTCTTTTATTTTAATTTTAGTGAAATTAAGGGTTCATTGGGTTCTACTTCAGTGCTAATGTTTAGTTATCATAGGTCCTGAAAAACTTTTGACTGCAAATATATGATGATGAGTGATGAGACAAGAGTAAAAATGTAAATATAGGTTTCTTTGTGTTCCTTTATTGCCATGAGCTTGTGAAATTTCCTATTTTTCACAGTTCCAAATGGATACCTCAACAAAAACCCCAGGTCAGGAGAAGATCTAATTTTACCTTTCAAATAAAATTTTGTAAATTTTGGGCTAGGCATGGTGGTGCATGCCTACAATTCCAGCTACTTGAGAGGCTGAGGCAGAAGGGTCCCAAGTTCAAGGAGAGCCTAAGGACCCTGGTGAGACCTTGTCTCAAAATTAAAAAGGAGTGGGGAAAGAAATAAAAGGGCTAGAGAGGTAGCTTCATGGTAGAGCACTCTGGGGTTCAATTCCCAGTACCATAAGAACAAAACAAGCTGAGCACGGTGGCACACATTTATAACCCCACCACTTCGAAGGCTGTGGCAAGAGGAATGCTACAAGTTCAAAACCAGCCTTGATGACATAATGAGTTCAAGGCCAGCTTGAACTATATAGCAAGTACTTGTTTCAAAAAACAAAGAGTGAATTTTCACCAAATATTTAGATTTGGTAAAATCTATATTTTAAGATTAAAGAGCAAGCTACTTTTATATAGACAAGTCATATGGTAATACTGTGTATATTTCTGAATTCTTTTAAGACAAATACTCTATGGCAACATGATGGGTAAAAGCAGAGGCAAGTCTGTTACTGGTCTAAGATTCCACAGTGTTGCCAGAAGTCACGCCACGTCATTACAACTGGAGGTTCCCGCTTCCACTGTAAACAACAGCATAATTTTGGAAGGGAAAGAGATGTGGAACCTTTCTTAAATAGATGGTAGCTGACTTTTCCACTTACGGGAAAGATCAGCTAGGGTCTAAAAAGATGCAAAGTAACTTTTTGGGACGGGCATGGTGGCGCACACCTGTAATCCCAGCACTTGGGAGGCTGAGGCAGGAGGATCGTTGCAAGTTTGAGACCAGCCTGGGCTACATAGTGAGCTCAAGGCCAGCCTGAACTGCATAGCAAGACACTGTCTCAAAAAAAAAAAAAAAAAAAAAAAAGAAAAATAACTTTTTACCACTAGGTCTTCCAGAGAAGAGCCATCACTGATAACAAGGTCATTAAATTGGTCTTGGATTTGGTCCATAGTTTGTGGGAGATCTCGAGCTGGAATAAACCACTCATGTTCTTCTTCCTCTTCCAGCATTTCTTGGAAACAGCGTTCAATAAATTCTTCTTCCCACAACTCCTCTTCTATCTAGATTTACAATAAATAAAAGATAATTTATAGCATACTTAGTAACACATCACTAGGGGTGGCTGAAAATAACCCATTTAAAACCAAAATGTTGGAGGTCATGAACCCTTTCTGGGTTTAATCCCCAGCACCAAAAAAATTTTACAAATAAAAAATGTTCTAGTTGGGCATGGTGGCCCATGCTTGTAATCCCAGCACTCGGGAGGCTGAGGAAGGAGGACTGTTGTGAGTTTGAGACCAGCCTAAGCTACAAAGTGAGCTCAAGGCCCAGCCTGAACTGCATAGCAAGACCTTGTCTCAAAAAAACCAAAAAAACAAAAACAAATGTTCTAGCTGGGCATGGTGGCTGCACAACGGAGGACCACTATGAGTTCAAGGCTAGCCAGGACTACACAGCAAAACCCTGTCTCAAGAAACAAACAACAAAAAACCCCGCAAAACCAAATAACCCCAGCTTACTCTAATGACCCAGGGAGATCTGAATAGAGTTTTTCTATGCCTTTACTTTGTATCACCAGAATTATTTTTTCCACTGAAGATGGCAGGGGAAGAAGTAAAAAATAAAGGAGTGCTTTCTTTAGGACTGTGTATCAGAATTACCTGTGATACCTTAAAACTGTACAAACTCTAAAACAAAATCTCTTGGGAACAGGGTCGCAGCATGAGTAATCAAAATAATCTCCCTCCCCAACTGATCCTAGCATGCATGAGGCCCTGGGTGCCATCCCCAGCACTGAAACAAAACAAAACATACTAACTGATTCTCACTGAAATAAGATTGAATTGTTTTAGTCTAGAACAGTGATGGCGAATCTTTTAGAGCTTTCCATGTGCCATAGGTTCACCACAATTACTCTAGAATGTCCACCACTGGATATGGAGAAGACAAGGTGGCTATTGATTTCCAAAACCACAAGCAAGGGAGAAATGAGAAGGGAGATGGAAAAAGATGTCAAAAATACAGAAAAAAAGGATAACATTTATCAATGTATGATAGTTCTCTGTGAGTGGTACCAGATTTTTCAGGCTGATCAAATTGAGGATCTCAGATGAAAAAGCACCATTCTGCATCCCAGTATCTATGTCCATCTGCTTTCAATTCCAGAATTCCCTCTACTTGCATTATAATAATGATCTGGTGTAATACAGTGGTTTCCAAACTGAACTACTCCGAACCATGTGGGAACTTTTTGAAGTTTCCCAGGCTCCACCCTAGTCCTCTTGAATCAGAATCTCCAGAGTGGGACAGTGAAACAAGCTCCATAGGCAATTTCAATGAGCAGTTAAGCTTAGTAGTAACCAGCAGCCAAATGAAACAGCAGTGGTAGCCACACACAGTATTTCATATAAAGGACCAGATAGACACATTTCAGGGTCAAGTACAATCATAGTGAAGATGGTAATGGGCTATGAAAAACATTTATATTCCAAACTAACTTGTCTGTTGAATTCCTCTTCATTTTCCATCCACATGTACTCTGCAAATGGATTGTCATCTTCGTGAGAATGACCATTAATAATCACATCTTCATTGATGATGCTTGGGCTAGTACTGCTGCGACTTGGATCTTTCATGGTTGGCGTTAGTTGGCGTTTTTAACCTTAATAGTACAACAACAGTTAATCCAGTTATTCTTACAGTGCTTAGCATCTATTTATTATTATCAGGCATCATAGTTGGGTATCAAGAGACACATGATATAGTAAGTTACTGGAAACTTCTATTTTTTTCCACCAGTAATTTTAATGTTTAAGAATTAGTTGAGGACAGTCTACAGCCAGCTAATGTTTTCTGGTAACAGTAAATGAAAGCAGTCAATTTCTTACATGTAATCTCCAAACTATCAAATTTATTTTATTTATTTATTTATTTTTTGTCTTTTTGAGACAGGGTCTCACTATGCAATTCAGGCTGGCCTTGAGCTCACTTTGTAGCCCAGGCCGGCCTCAAACTCACAAAGATCCTCCTGCCTCAGCCTCCTGAATGCTGGGATTACAGGGATGCGCCACCACGCCCGGCTCAAATTTATCTTATATTTGAGTATTTTTGTTTTTCTTTGGTACTGTGTACTGAACCAAGGGAGCACTGAACCACATCCCCAGCAAACCCTCCCCCTTGTTACTTGTTTACTTGTTAAATTGCCCACACTAGACTTGAACTTGTGATCCACCTGCCCCATTCTCCCTAGCTAGGGTTACAGGTACAGGCATGTGCTATCATGCCTGTTGGATATCCCTTGTTTTATAAAATATGCATGCTCCTCACTTAGTCATCAAGTGAAATGATTAAAACCAAATTATTTTAAAACCCATTTCATAAATCCCGAGATTGAAAATACAAGCACCCTTTTAATAACCTCTTAGGTCCTCAGTCCCAAAGTATTTCTCTGGATCTGTCCTCCAGAGCACATTATTTGCTTTTTTCCTGGGTCTATGCTCAGTTCCTCTCTGCTTGGATATTCCTGACAGGTGGTGAATTTCAGGCATTGAATCCCTTTTTACCTGGGTAAAACAGTATCAAATATAGTAGGTCAGGGTTTTTTCTGTCACTAAATAATCTACTCAATAGCTGATAACATGATGTAGACTAAAAGTTTTTCTTTTTTCTTTTTTTGGAACCAGGAATCAAACTCAAGACCTTGCACTTGCCAGGAAGGTGCTTATGCCACGAAACTACATCCCCAGCCCTAAAAGTATTTTTTTTAAAGACTGAAATTAAAATATGACAAAAAAAAAATTAAAGCATGAAGTTTTAGATTTATGAGTTACTTATACATAAATTCAAGCAACAGGATGACTTGTGCCAAAGAAAACAGTATACCTAATATGAAAGCACACTTCTTATTCATTTTTCTTTTTTTTTTTTCTGAGACAGGGTTTCACTATGTAGTTCAGGCTGGTGTCGAGCCCACTATACAGTCCAGGGTGGCCTCAAACTTGCAATAATCCTTCTGCCTCAGCCTCCCGAGTCTTGCAGTTACAAGTGTAAGGCATCATGCCCAGTGTAAGCTTCTCAGTCTTGTCAGTTAAAAAAACCCTGTTGGGGCCTACTACCTCACAGTTATCATAGTTAATTCAAAGAAATCAAAACTAAAAGTCCAGAATTTTATTTTTTATTTTTGGCTTGGGTGAAAGACAGAAGAAGGTCTTGTTCTATGTGTCTTCTGGCCCCTTAATTTTATGAACTTATCCTTAAGAGGACCTAGCGTAAAGCTGGGCATGGTGATGCATACTTATAATCCCAGTAAGTTCAAGGCCAGCCTGAACTACATAGTGAGACCTTCTTGCAAAAAGCCACAAAATCAAAAAACAGTAACAAAAAAAGAGGATGTAAGTGTAATAAAAATACATAGCTGTTTACGTAATATGAATTTAGTCTCTAGGACCCACATGTATTTTCTCAAATACTGAACACGAATGACAATAGTATGATGGTGAAAATTTTAGTTAAGAGATCTTCAACTAAATATTAAATATTACTGGGAACTTCTGCCCTTGGAGATAGCCTCCTTTCTCTCATATATATATATATATATATATATATATATATAGAGAGAGAGAGAGAGAGAGAGAGAGAGGGAGAGAGGGAGAGAAGGAGGGAGAGAGAGGGAGGGAGGGAAGGAGGGAGGGAGGGAAAGAACGTTGTGGTAAGGTGTCAGCAGAGGGAAAAATGATTTGGGTTAGGAAACTGAGACACTCTAAAAACAAGAGAAAACAATGTCTGATACTTCTGGAAGAAGCGTAAAATGCTTTTAATTTATTAAGGTTTTTTGAGACTGGCCTTGATCTTGCAATCCTTGTGCCTCAGCCTCTGGAGTGCTGGCATTATAGGTATGTACCACTATGCCTGGCAAAAACTATACTGATAACAAGTCCTGACTAAACAGCATTCAATTCCTATAAAAAAAAAAAAATCACTCATTCTTATACACATGTATGCTACCAAATACCTATATGCTCATCTTTATGTGTGTGTTTTGAGACAAGGTCTCACTCTGTAGTCCAGGCTGGCCTTAAATTTATGGCAGTCCTCCTGCCTCAGCCTCTTCAGTGCTGGGATTACAGGTGTGTGCCACCATGTGTGGCTTCCTCATCTTTTTGTCTTTTTGAGACAGGGTCTCACCATGCAGTTCAGGCTGGCCTTGAGCTTGCCTTGTAGCCTAGGCTGGTCTCAAACTTGCAACGATCCTCCTACTTCAGCCTCCCAAGTGCTGGGATTACAGGTGTGCGCCACTACACCTGGCTCTTATGTTTAACTTGTATCTTGTGCTAAGTTTTAAAACTGAGATGTAATTTATAGTCAGACACCATAACCACCTAACTCTAAAACATTTAAAATATTGAATATAAAATGACATGTACAAAATATTTAAAAGCAGTATGTTTCAAAATCATCCTGTCTTGACTTAAATTTCAGTTCCATTTTTTACTGGATGTGTAACCTGGAAAGTTACTTAAAATTTGATTTCAAGCAGAGCATCCTGGCACATACCTGTAATCCCAGCACTCATAAACCTGAGGCAGGACTGCCAGCCTAAACCACAAAATAAAACCTGGCCTCAAAAGAAAAAAGAACAAGAAAAAAAAATTGGTTTCAACTAGGCAGGGTGGTATATACCTATAAATCTTAGCGCTCTGGGAAGCTAAGGCAGAAGCATTATAAATTCAAGTCCACCCTAGGTTACAAAACAATTTAGAAAGACTGTGTTTAAAAAAAAAAAAAGGGCTGGAGATATAGCTTGTTGTTGGTTTTTTTTTGGGGGGGTGGGGGGAACAGGATCTCACTATGCAGTTCAGGCTGGTCTTGAACTCACTTTGTAGACCAGGCTGGCCTCAAACTTGCGAATATCCTCCTGCTTCAGCCTCCTAAGTGCTGGGATTACAGGTGTACGCCACCACACCTGGCAACTCATTGTTGAAGGCTCTGGAATTTTTTTTTTTTTTTTTTCCCCGGTACCGGGAATCAAACTCATGACCTTGCCACTTGCCAGGCAGGCACTGTGCCGCTGAGCTAAATCCCCAGCCCCCTAGGCTCTGGATTTAATCCCCAGTACCAAAACCAACCAAAAAAAGGAAAAAATTTGGTACTGTGTGTACTTAGTATACATGAGGCCCTGTGTTCAACCCCTAGCAACTAAAAGAAGAGAAGGAAAGCCACAAAAAAAGAGGCCCTGGGGTTCTAGTACTATTCAAGAGGCTAAGGGAAAATGATCACAAATTCAAACCCAGCCTGGATAATTTAAGTGAGACCCTACCTCAAAAATAAAAGTAAAAAAGGGCTGGGGATGTAGCTCACAATGAAGCCTTGGGTTTCAATCTTTAGCACCAGGGGTATGTGCATGGGGGTTGGGATGGAGAGGGGACCCTCCTCAGGAAGAAGGCACCTTCATTCTAGCTTTATGGCCATGCACAAAAAATTTTCAAGAATGAATAGTACAGAGATAAAATCCCGAAGGAAAAAGACAAGGCATAATTAAGCAAAATGCAGCACAATTTACAGAAAGCATAAGACCCACAGACTTGAAATACTGGAATTATGTGGCATGTGTAAGAAACAAATAATTATATCATGCATGAAAATACCTTCAGAGAGCAGCAAAAAGGGGCTGGGGATATAGCTCAGGGGTGCAGTGCCTGCCTGGCAAGTGTGAGGTCCTGAGTTCGATTCCTGTACTTCCCCGCAGAAGAAGGCAGCAAAAAAAATAAAAAGTGCACAGTAGATTTGAAAAGAGCTTAATAAAACTTCTATGAAAATTTTAACATAAGTAGAATTTTTCTTTTTTTTTTTTTTCAAAAGGAGGTGAGCTGGCCAGGGATATAGTTCAGCAACACAGCGCCTGTCTGGCAAGCACGAGGTTGTGAGTTCGAGTCCTGGCACCAAAACAAACAAAAAAAAGAGGTGAGGTCTATGTTGCCTAGGCTGGCCTTGAATACCTAGGCTCACATGGTCCTCCTCCTTTAGCCTTTTACACAGCTGAGTGGGGCTCTACTTTGCCCAGCTAAAACCTAATAGTTTGGAAGCCAACAGAGTTAATGGAAAACCTAGAAGATTAAAAAAAAGAAGAAAAAAAGAAACCATGGAAGAGAGGTCAAGAGCATCCAAGTTCCAGGAAAAGAGAAGAAAAAATGGGGCAGGGGCAGAAACAGGATTGAATCTGATGAAAGACATCAATGTATATATTTAAGAAACCATGGGCTAGGGCTGGGGATTTAGCTCAGCGGCACAGCGCCTGCCTGGCAAGCGCTAAGTGGTGAGTTTGATTCATGGTGGTGGTGGGGGGGACGACACCACAAACAAACAAAAGAAACCATGGGCTGGATGAGGCACATGCTCTGTAACTGCAGTTACTGGGATAGCTGGGACAGGAGGACTGCATATTGAAAACCAGCCTGGGCAACAGGCTGAGACAGTGAGATCATCTCAAAAAACAAAAAGGGGTTGGGATGTAGGTCAGTGGTACAGTGCCTGTCTGCCAAGCACAAGGCCCGGAGTTCAATTCCTGCTACAAATAATAAATAAATAAATAAATAGGCAGGGGATACAATGCAGTGGTAGAGCACCCCCGGTTCAATTCCTAGTACTAAACAACAACAACAAAAC